TTTTTTGTTTTTCCATAGGAAAGAGAAGAGTTGTGTTTGGACAATTTTGATAACTGCATTTGGAACCGAAAGCAATAATGATGCNTTTTTTTTTTTTAATCTGGAATAACCGACTTTGCTTTAAAACGACATCGCATTTTAATGTTAAAGGAGTCTGAGCCGAGCTTTTAAAAGTAAAAAGTCCTTGAAGTGTCCGCTTATTGCAAGTTTTGTGCAACAAAATGGCTTAATATTGGTTTCCGTGTCAACTTAAAAGAGGTGTCCACTGAATGCAGGTTTATTTTACAGTAAAAGTGGGAAGAAAATTTAGGGACTTAAGCTGGTATCAACTCAATAGAGGGTGCCCGCTTAATGTGGGGTCCGCTTAATACAGGTTTCAATGTATTTATTCGTTTTAGGGACGACATGGACACAAGAAATTGTCTGGCAAATTCTCCATGATGGACGAATTGATTACAGGCGGATTGACGTGCGAATTCCGTGGATAGAAGGGATGCTTTTTCCGTACAAAGAAAATCCTTACAAAGTATCAACTGTTGACATGATTGAGAAAATGTTTGAGAGCTTTCCTTCGCCTCGTGTTTTCAAATCACACCTGCGCTACCATCTGATTCCCAAGGCTGCTAACAAGACTAGAAAGCCTCGGTACATTTATGTCATTCGTAATCCCAAAGATACAGCTGTGTCATATTATCACCATTATCACTTCATTCCCGCTGCAAAAGATCCGTCTTCTTGGGAAACGTTCTTTGACCAGTTCATAAACGGAGAAGGTAAGCCACTCTTTCCGACTTTTATTTGTTGGTTAAACTGAAGCCATGATCAACAAAGTAACTAAGACGAGTTATGTGCTGTCTCGAGATTAAACAGTTAGTTTTTTTTTTTTTTTCTGAAGAATGTCAGTGTTTGTTTCAATCCCTTACATGTACCTGACCGTTGGCTGCTGTCAGATTTTTATTTCCCTCTATAGACAGGGTCCCAAAGTTGTTATTCAGTGGCTAGGAGTTATGTTTACCCTATGCTTCCTCTGTGTTGCTAAGCTGTTAATCTCTTTAATATGATGGTCATGCCCTTTGTACAGAAGAACCAGACTGACTGTGATGACTGAACCTTACTTGGCCACAGTCGGCCACAGTGTTTTAGCCGATTCTGTTTATTTTTGTTGACTATCAGTTCTAAATTTCAACTGGCTGAGCAGCAGTCTTGTAGTGGCAAAATCTCTACCACAAAACTACCAAAGAAGAATGAATTTCTTATAATAATGTGCTTTTAAACAAATTGACCGATGTCTTTCAAGTTTACCTCAATTAAATCCGTTTCATTAATCTCCAACTTTGCCCATCCATGCCACATTTTGGTTTTTCAGTGTTTCTTTTGAGTTCTTCTACGGCTTTTAGCCATTATTAATTGCGATATTTCAGTTTATTCTACAACCAAATGGTAGGAGTTGATTTTTCCTAAAATTGGGTGTATACATGTACCTTGTTCATAATAATATTGCATTCACTAAGTATACTGTTTCCCAGCTAGCACTAAGCGAGCAATTTACGTGTTTGTTGTTCTTTCAGTAAATTCAGGCTCTTGGTTTGATCACGTGTTAAGTTGGTGGGAACATCGAGATGACCCTAACATATTATTTGTAAAGTATGAAGACATGAAAAAGGTAACTTACAGTATTTAAAGTTGATACCATTATTTTGATATGGAATTAACTGGTAGAGTAGGGTTCTGTTTCCCTGTTGTGGAGAAGGTTTTGATGATGAATTTGAGCGACTGCTGGTTAGTTGTATCGTGCCATTCATTCATTTTTCATTTCTGGTCAGAGCCCTTGATCCTACAGATTTGCTTTAGATCATTCGGTATCACGATTAACACGTTCATTGTCATGTAGTTCAGGATGCCAAGCGTATTGTTATATTTTACGGTGATACATTCGTACCTTCTGGATCAGTTCTCTAATCCAGTGTAACAGTTTTCAAAATTTAGCCCTAAAACGATTTGAACGCGACGCACAATCTTCCGCAGTCAATTATTATTAACTGAGGTCGTTACAGGTGGTTGAAATACTTATATCGTCAAACCAGGTTTAATTAACAAGATAGCTTTTCCACTGGATTGTATGTCATCGCATGAACGAACGAATTGAACTATGCAACATTAAGTTAATCTTGAAATGGTCAAATCATCGTTCTTATAATCTGCTCTACTTGACTGAATTTGGCCAGGCGTAGACGGAGTTTGACCGATATTATGGAGACCCGAGTCTGTGAACTTGAACTAGAACTTGCGAATTCCCCAGAACCTTCTAATTGTTTGGATCAGGTTAAGTTAACAAGAAGCGGGCATTTTTCTACTCGTTCTTTAAATAAAGCCAACAAAATAGGATATTACATCATAACCTCAGTTGTTTAGCCTCTATAGCTAGGCGCACGCAAAACGTGCACGTGGTGCGCGACCAATTCGTGCGTGGTGTAATCATGGTTTTTTAAAACTATGCTGATAGTATAGTCAATTACTATACAGAAATGTGAAAAAAGACGTAAAGTTGGATTCCGAAACAGTAATTTTTTTTCTTTAGGATCCGCAAGCCGCCATTGACAAAATCGCACGTTTCATTGGAAAAGAGATCTCACGCGAAACACTCGATCTTATAGTTCAACAAACGACAGTGGATGCTATGAAAAACGAGGGGAACGCCAACTATAAATGGATGTCTGGTGCTAAAGGTGACTTCATTCGCAAGGGTGAAATAGGTGACTGGCAAGCAATGTTCAGTGAGGAACAAAACAAGATGCTTGAGAACATCTACAAAGAAAAACTGGCAGGGACAGGGCTGGAATTTGATTTTGATCCAAAATAGATGGAAAAAAGGGTTGAATTGTGCGACCGATACGATATTTGTGAGGAAGACTTTAGTCGTGTTAGGTCTTTGTCTAACGCAGCTCCACCCTTAGAGTGGTCCCATGCAAATACCCCTGAATCCACGAACTAAAGCCAGGAGAGCTTATCGCAAATTGACAAACTGAAACGTACTAATTTTCAAATATATCAACTGTCATTCGACATGGTCAACACTGTACTCAGTCTTTGTAACCGTTGTCTCAAAAGAGGGGCAGGGGAGTGGGTGCTTACTTGAGGGGTAGGGTGGGGTGGACGCTTATTTCAAATTTTGGACGATACTCGAGCTGCCTACTGTAGGATTTACGGTATGTGACATCTAATGATATTCTATTCATTAGGCTTACAATTGATACAAGACAAATTGATTCGCTTTGTTACGATGGATATAGTTCACACATATTATTGTAGTTGGGCTGACAAGGGGTAAAATTGCAACTACTGTAAATAACGTGATCAAGTTTATTTTTATGACATAAAAGAGCAAACTGTGCTCATTAAGTGATTTATGTGACAGCCAGAGACTGATTTTTCTGCATTTTTGTTATAATTGACTTATATTGCGTAAGTCTTCAAATTTGTGGGAGCAAACTGGCACCATCACTACGCAGAAGCCACCTACTTTCTTACACAGCTCATTTTCAGGAATAATTTCGAAGCAATTACATTCTGAAACGTTCCTAAATGGCTGCGATTCCTAAAATATGTATATGAAATCGTTACAACTCCTCTAATAATAATAAAATTCCTTGGTTTACCATGGAATGGATAATTATATGTATAAACGTATCGTGGCCGCAAGTATCAAACCTCTAGGTCTTGGAACGTGCTCCATTTACAATTGAAAATGAGTTTCCATGCACGTATGAGCATAAATTATATGATACGTGATAACCAATCTAGACATTTACTTAGTCATTCCAGCTTTCGCAATTAAACTTGTCATATGTACCTAGATATATGAATATTGGCAATTACCTAGACAGCGGGTTGTTTTCAGGCCCAAACTTCTATTTTTTATTTATTTAGTTTAGTTTTGTTCTGTTTTCTCCCATGCAAAATGCAATAACAAATACTTTTAGTTGAAGTAAAACTACAGTTCCATCCACTGATTAAGTCAGCGGCCTCCCCTTGGAAACACATTTTCCGCCATGTAGTTAATAACGTTGCCAGCGGGACGGTATCGACCCACCACGAACGTTAGACTGCCATCTCCGGTTTTAGCTCGACCCATTCCTAACTCTTTACTGTCCTTCCATACGATCTGCGTGAAATGTCCAGTCCCTCCCTGCCAGCCACCACGACGAAAGTTGTAATTCTTATACTCGTCGTACCTATGATGTTAGGGTAGAGTATGTAATGTCACTGCTGATACAAAGTCTAATTACAAATGCTATATGGGTTTAGAGTGGCTTTCAACTGAGTGTCGAAAGTAATCAGAGCATTACGTTGGTTTTGTAAAAAAAAAATGCGTTGGTTTTAGTTTTACTGCGGTTTAAGGTTGGCTGAGAAGTCTAATTGGTAAGTAATTGGTTTGGTTTGGTTTTACGACAGTCAATTGAAAACCGTTCTAACTTGGCACAAGAAGAAGCCAAAGCTGTGGTAAAGAACGACTGGGACATTTAAGATGACGGGTAAAAAGGACTACTCTTTCTTCTATTGTCAGATAGTCGTGTTGTTTCAGATGGTGCACGTGTGACGCGCATTCTAAGTCTCTTAAGTCTTTTTATCTTTTATGATATACATGTAGATTTAATTGTTGGATTCATTAGTTCTTTCGCTAGCACTACATGCCCACGTACTGGATCCAATCCGTGTTTTTGACAGATATCATGTGTGCAGTGAACTAGTGTGAGCTTATAATGGCTCTTTTTTAATGATACCTGCTGAATAATTAATGCTCTCTTTCTCGGACGAAAACGTTAGTGATATGGTACATAGTAAATGCAATTAATGTATTGATCAATCAATCTGCCAGTCAGTCAGTCAGTCAGTCAGTCAGTCAGTCCGTCCGTCCGTCCGTCCGTCAGTCCGTCCGTCCGTCCGTCCGTCCGTCAGTCAGTCAGTCCAATTACTATTGGTCACCAGATAGTTCGTACAAACTAGATATAAGAGCAATGACTGATCTCCCATCCGAAAAGGCCCAATTTAAGTTACCAGTTAAGTTACCGTTTGATAGTGCTTACCACATGGTGGTTGCTTCCTCTCCAGCAGAATCAAATTTTCCAGTAAACATGGCTATGTTTTCTCCAGCGTCCTTTCTTTCGCTTTTGCTTGAGTGCTGCAATGTACGTGCGCGCGCAAGTTTCTCAGCCCAGGCTTGCGCTTCCCTAGCAAGGTCGTCCGCCCACTTTAAAGGTGGCACGCCATGCATGGAACGGAATCTGTTGTGTGTGTCTAGAGACTGCTTTGGAAATGGTCCTTTAGGAGATGATGTAGCTGAGCTGGAAGGTGTAAATCTCTCTGCTGAAAAGTTAAAAAAAGTTTATTTGTAAGCGGTAGGCTAAGGACTAGGTAAATGGTAAATGATAGATTTTTCAGCTTTATGCGATGTCGGCTTTCTATTTTAATTCTTAATCCAATGTAAAGGTTCGTTATTGCGCGAAAATGAACTTAGTCTCCCGTATGCTTCTAGTCTATGTTTTGCACTGTAAGTTTGTCCCAAATGTGGAGCCATTGTTTTGTACGTTTTAGGCTGAAATTACCAGCAAAGGTATTGAAATTCACCACAATTGTGCTGAATAAATATGATATATTAGTATTTCCATATCCTTTTCATTATTTCTTTTAACCAAGTTTTGACTTAAGAGTAATGAACATTGGTGCTTTGGCATTTTAAGATCATGATTTAATTTTAAAGCCCACCTGGTTTAGGTTCCCTGGGTTTTTGGCTGCTCCACGAGGTTGAGGAAGATGGTCCCTGAGCTAAAATTAATTATCATT